TCTGTCAAAAGCACAGCTACGAGGTGTACTACTTATGTCTCATTTGCTACTAAATACCTACTACCATCTGATAAGTGTAACATTTTTCCTATACTGGAAATACTCAAAGGCCTCTTCTAATACAGCTAAATTAAAAATATACTGTACTTCAAAATGGAGGATATGATCAGATTTACTGACACAAGGATGAAGAACCCTGTGGATAATAGAGAAGATTTGGTTTCTGGCAAATGTCTGTGGAGCTGAAAAGGCCCCAGTTCTGGGAGACTTAGGTTTATTTATTACAGCTTTTTTAGTGGGGTTTTTTTTGTGTTTTAAGTACTTCTTAATTTCTCATTCCTCTTTCTGGAAATACCTAGAAAAGCAGCAGCAGCGAAAGTTACCTACTGCCTAAATCTGTGAGCAAGTAGACGTGTACTTTACATTAGTTAAATGTGGAGGGGAAGTATCAATAATACAACTCAGATTTGCATGACTAACTGAGACCAAAGAGTGGTCACTGTTCTGTTTTTTGTTGTTTGCCTGTTTTTGAGGGGGAAGAAGGGCAGATTTGATGCAATCTGTGTCCAGTTTTTCTTATGAGTAAACATCACTGTTGCTGACTTCAAGCAGAGATGTTGGTGTTCAGGAGTTTGTAGTGCATGATGTGAGTGGGCGTTCAGAGTCAGCAGTGCAAATCATTGCTTACATGAAAGAGATGCAAGCAATTTAAAAAATTGAAAAGTTAAAACCCAGAAACCAAAAATCCCTACCAACCGGTTTTCCCGCTCTATATTCATGCCAGCTACTACTCTTAATTCCAGGGTAGTACTATTATAAATCAACAAATAACCTTTATGAACTTAGAGTGAAATTGTAATGAGTAATTGAAGATATTAAGCATCAGAATATGTAGGCTTTCTTACACTTTGTTGATTCCATATGCTCCTCTGTAATAAGAAGTGGACAGAAGCATTCCAAAGGAGTAAAGAAAAAGTGAAATTAAAATCGTATTTAGTGACTTTTGCCCAGTTTCACATCACTGAGTCATATGAAGAAACAGAATCTCAACTGTACTTCTATAACAACATGCTTTTTGCTAACGTTAATGTAAGAAGAGTTCCCAAATTCAGCTGTGAGCTTTTTAAAAGTATGTAGATTGTTCTGCATGTTGTGTATTTATGTATGATCATTATATTATTTCAGGGAAATATCTTTTAATGTTATTCTTCAATTTAAAACTGTTGACATGATGTTGAAAGGAAAAATAGCTGTGAAGGAAACTGCAAAACTCCTTAGATCATTCGTGTAAAAAACCAGACACTACTTTGAGCAAGTAGTTACTCGTTTATCCTTCTTGTATGAAAGAACATGATTATAAACTATTTTGTTATGTACTATGTTCTTGATACATGTGTGGATGACCTACATTAATTCCTACCTGTTTTGTGTATCTGTGTTCAAAGAGTTTTTTCAAGCTCTTGAAGGCCCGAATGGCCTTTCTTAAAATTCAGTAGCAGGCCAGAAATGTCTTCTACAAAGATATGCAAGTTAAATTGACAAAGCTCAACTGATTATGTTTAATGTTCCCATAATAAATTGTGCCTGTCATGCAATTTATTGAACTTCTTGTGGCTAATTCATGTGACATGTAAACTTTCTGGTCACAAATTATTGTGAATCCTGTTAGGTGGAAATAGGAGCAACTCAAGGGCAAGAAGAGGGACTTTCCCTCTCCTTTCTTCTGGAGTTGTGAAGATCTTTAATTCAGGAACTTAAAAAGAGAAATATTATTGCAGCTTTTGTGTCTTGGAGATTGCAAAAAGAAAAATTTTCTGTGGGTGTTTTCTTGTGAAATGGGGAAAATCTGATGCAAATTTGTAGTTCCTCCTCTGTTGAGAATGGGATAGATGATAAATAAATGGGTACTAAATCCTGCTGTGATCTGCCTTTTACTGAACATATGTGCTGAACAAATGAAAAAATCAAAGGACAACAGAATAGGCTGGTGACAGAACAGCGAATTCAAGTTTGAATGTGGGGTTAAGCATCAGATTTTTTTTTTTTAAATACAAGATAAAAGGTTTCCCTAATTTCAAGCTTTGGCAATAATTTTATAGCAAAGGCTTAAAGGAAGAATAGAAACACTATTTTTTCTTCAGCAAAAATAGAGTTAGTCACATAATATAAAATTTAAGTGACTGAGGTGAGGGCATTACACTGTTGTGATGTAGAATTAGATCAAAAAGTTCCTTAGGAAAGGGATGCCTTTATTTCTTTGCTTGCATATTAAGCCAGGTGTGTCAAAGTGAGTCCAGCTCTTGACATAGAGCATTTTGGAACAGAAAATATTTTACCTAAATGCTCACATAACTGATAAGATAATTCATAAGATATGCCTCCCGCTTCTCTTGAATAAGGTCTGATTTAGATGTTTTTGTTGTCCTTATCTTCTGTGTTGGTTTTAGTCAGGACTAAACACATGAAAGATCGTACCTTACCTGTTCATGCTAGAGAGGTGTTCAACAAGAAGTAAATTTTATTTCCCTCCTCCCAACTTTTTTCAGCAACCTTATAAATTTGGTTCATTCATTGATTGATTTTTATCCCAGGGTGTGAGGGGGAAGAAGGAAGGGGAATAATTACAGACTGTCTGTGGGAGAGAAATTGAAGAGGTGAACTCTCCACAGTTTCAAAAGCAGGATTTTTCATACCAACTGTGATGTTTCATTACAAAACAACACTTGAAATTGATCTTAATTAAATAGATGGCCTACTTAAACAGGATGGTTGAAAGGGAGAGCAGGATTAAGTATTTTATTTCCTAGAAGCTGACTTTCTATTTAAAAGTAGGGTATCTATGTGATCCAGCAGCACCACCCTCATACCTACAAGCTGTTATGCCAATGGAGTTGTAACCTGGGCAGCTCTACAGGTAACGCTTCTATGACAATCTGATGGTGTTCCACTTTTTGGCACGTCAGAGGTGAAAGGAGCTCCCATGCTCCTAGCAGCTGCTCTTTGTCCCATGTCTTGCTGTTACAAATAGGCTAATCCCTCTGCTGCAGCATGCCCTCTCAGCATGGTGGGTGCTGTAAAGGCTCTCTGGCACTTCTTCCAGTGTTACAGATCATGTATGTTTCATTTAGATTGGTTCAATTATCACATTGCATTAAAACAGGAGAAAGCGATGTTCCTTTTTCAAATTCAGATGCAGAAGGCTTTCTGGGTCCAGCGCCTACTTGAAAATATACATTTGTAACTCTCTGTCAAGTCAAGGGTTGCCTGAGGTTGAATTAATGCTTCATCAACCAGTATATGATAAACAGGAAGGCTCAAGAAGTGTATTTGCAGAAGCAGCAGGTGTGCTCAGCTTCTCAGACCAGTGTTTGCTCGTTTTGTGATATTGATTTAAAATGAAAATTACAAAAATACTATGGCTAGAATTAAAAAGGAGGATGAATGAAGCCACCCAAAGCATGCAAAGTGTGAACTAATGCGTTGTAGGATGCATTGACCTAATGGTTCTGCTGGCAGACAGTGAGTCTTAACCCCAAGAGCCTGATGAAATGTGTAGAAGAAACTGGTAATAAGGTTAGTGCCTTGACTGGGGAGAACCGATTGCAAATCTGAAGTACTCTGGGCTTTTCTTTAGCTTGCTTGAGAACCGCAATTAAAGACTGGATGAAGAGCACAATTGCACTGTTCTTGTCACCACCCTCGGTTGAGCAAGATGGTGAGCTGTCACATTATTTTTCAGGGGATGATGCATTAGCTGCTGGCTATTAATTTCCTGCATTTTGGGCTGGATAGCTGAACTCTTTGAGCTCCACAAAGCATGTGGCATGACAGGCGCAGTATTGTTTAGGCATTTGCAGTGTGTGTTTGTTGACAACATTCCTTTCAGAGAAAAAGCTGTTGGTGGGTTTAATTGCTTCTATTATTGGTGACGAGAGGAGAGGAAGGAAATGGGCATAGAACAAGAAAGTCTTGCAGAGCTTGCAGTTGTGCTGCCACAGGCCTGTGACATGTGGAAGGCAATTAGTGAAATTACAGGTCTCTCTTCTTTTCTACACTCTGCTCTTGCTCTGGCATCACATAAAAGGCATTGTGGCATAATTAAGACAGGATGCAGAGTTGAAAAGGAAAGCTGTTATTACGGGGAAAGAAAGTCTGAGGAGGTTGTTATTTAATGGCGAAAAGTGTTTACTACAAAGAGCCATAATTACTAAGCAGAATAATCAGGGAAAATACAGTAATAGTATTCTTGTGTTGTGTGAACATGGGTTTGTTTGGTTTTGTTCAGGAATACAAACTCTGCTCTAAAGAGTAATTAATGTGCAGGCTATTTCTCCTGCATTATCAAAAGTTTTGACTGGCAGCTTTTTTTTTTGTAGCGGTGTATGTAGTCGTTGCTCTGCTCTCCATTCCCTTGTCCCTCAAGTAAAAATATTTTTAAAATACGTTATAACCATTTTACTTGGAATAAGCAACCTATTTAATCTCTTCTTCGTATTTTTCACTTTTAATACAACAACAGAACTACTCCTGGATGCTTAAAGATGGTTGTCTGCTTATGTAATATTATAGTTTATGTTGATGTTTTTTATTCCAGTGACTCTACACTCATTGAAAATACCTGATGATGAGAAAAATACAGAGAGCTGCCACCTGGAATATGCTAAATGCAGTTTTAGATCCATTCGTTTATTGTGGATCAGGCTACTTTCTATTACCTCAGAACCTGTCCTTTGTCTTCTTTTTACATTGCCTGTTCAGGATGCCCCCCAATATTCATGTGATCTGCTTCAAAATTTTAATGCCAGTTGATCTCTGCTAAGTGGCACAAGATCTCTAACAGCTTCAAGTAATTAGAGTTCACTGGTTCCTGATTTGGATGAGCAAAGGTTTTCATGTCTCACTAGAGCCTTGTACCACCAGTGAATTAACTTTTATTTTTTCCTCTAATCCATTCTCCCTGGACACCTGTAACAAATATTCTGTATTTTTGTTTTCCACAGATGAGTGCTAATGATTGTCAAGACCCTCCAAAGTACTGGACAATCCATGGACTGTGGTATGATGATAGAGTGTTTCTATTTCAGCCTGGAAAGGAACAACCAAGTTTCGTACCAAGATGTTTAGCGCTTTTTTTTTGAGGGCTTAATCTATCTGTTTTTATGACTCCTTGAAACAAAAGCCTTCATTTTGTTGTAAATCAAAGCCCCTATGTTTTGATCTAAAACTGAAATATACTTCTGTATCTCGTGACTCGCAGAGCTCCTGAAATCCTCTTGCCACATAAGCATTTTATTTATACATCTCCTTATAAGATCAGTAATGCTCTTGGTCAGAAAGGGAAGTACAGCAGAATTTGTTAGTGTCTCATGACTGCTTGTGGCTTTGAGTGTCTTCACTCACCACAAATACTGCAAAAGTACAGGAAAACCAAATTTGCTTCAGAGAAATCAACTCACTGAAACTTGTGCCAATGGCAACAATTCAGAGGTTTTCCTTACAAATACAGGGGAAAATTCAGTACAGGACTTTCACCTTTCCAGGACACGCAGCTTAACAACATCATGTGTAGTTTTCCAGTGAGTGTCTTGCAGAATCACCACTTGGTGCAGTGGTTGAGCAGGTCTGTGTCAGTAGGGACATCATGTACAGGACCCTTCCATGTCATTTACTCCCCTGTGTGTCTTTTACACAGAGTGAGAGGAACTGCAGGGCCTAATGAAGAGCCTCTGGGCGAGATACGATTTGGCTGTAATTAATGTCTTGATTTTTTACTTCTGAAACACTGTAGATGCTTACGGGTTACTTGCATTTTTAAATAAAATTTCTAGGTATATTTAAAATTCAGGCTGATGATAAAGAATAGAACTGTGTTGGTTACTATTAGTGAGTTAGGAGACATCTTTTATCACTTTTATTTTTCTTTCCTAGGCCTGACAATACTGAAGAGTGTAATAGGACGTGGCATTTCAATGTCACTGAGATTAAGGTATTTATTTGAAATTAAAACAGTCATACCAGGCAGAGCTGAGTGCAATTACTTATGCACATCCTACATGCAAAATCTGTAGCTTACAATCTATCGTTCTTCGTGTTTGTTGAGAGGTATGTTCTCTTAAGGACTCCACAAATTCATTAGATGCTTCTGATAGTACTTGAAGTTGCAGTGCTTGTGATCATTAGCAGCTGTTTCTACTTCACTTTGTAGTGGTTTGACTCCTTCAGCCACATCCTCTTCAAAAAAAGATAATCTAGAGAACATAGGCGGTGGATATGCAGTGGCAAAAAGTACTTGTGAAAAAGAGGTGACAGTTAGTCCATGTTCTCTCTTCCATTTTCTACCACAAAGCCAGAATACAGAAAATAGGAGTTCGGAGTACATTCTTCTGTGTGTTTTTTCCCAAGCCATTAGTCCTTTTTAACACTTTTAAATGAAAATGTTTTCTGTATTTCATTAAAATGGTGTGAGCAGGGATAAGATGCTGGAGCTGACAAATGTGAAAAGCTGCACAATGGAGTAACTTTCTGCAGGGAGAGTTGAAGGACAATCTCACTTTGAGGCAGTCTGTGAGCATTAGTACATACACATATCTAGATAGCTGCGCCTAACCTCCAGCAACAGCATTTTCACGATACTGGGGGAAGAAGGCCTTTTTCTTTTATTGTGAGTAAATATTTCAGTTGGGGATGTTGAAAGATGAGGCTTCAGTTTTAGAAAATGTACCAATATATGTAGACTGTGGGACAAAAAAAAAAAAACCCACACCGAAAAAAAAGCTTTTCGACACTGTAGGTGCATTTATTAATTATAATATTTTCAGGATCTCATGTCAGATATGAGACGCTTTTGGCCTGATGTGCTTCATTCGTCTCTGAATCGCACCCAGTTCTGGTGAGTACAAAACCTGCCTAAAATCTCTTTTGGATATTATTTTACCAGAAAATCTGTTTGAGTTAGTAATTCTTCAGGTGAGGTGTTGTGCATGAGAAGCAGTGTCCAGGAGGGCGCTGAAAGCAGTGTGTCTTGCCAGTCTCGTTTACGCAATAAATCCGTTTTCTTCTTGGAGCGCTTGCAAAATGCAGCTGTTGGAGAGGGCTGTAGTGGAGGTTTTGGAGAAATGAAACTTAGTGAAACAGAGAGAGGGGCAAGAGAGAAGGTGTTTCCTCCCTTTGACCCCAGGGAGGAGAAGCAGCTGCTGTTGAGACATCAAACTTGAATAGCAGTAGCACTCCTGGGATGTCACAGCTTGCTGCAAGAGCGGCTTCCAGGCCTCGTTTCCTAGCTGGCTGCACTCTGTTGCTGGCTTTGAGAGACCTTTCGTTTTGGGCTTTCTCACTGAGGAGGAGATGGAAAAATAGGATGCGTTGGATCATCCTAGCCACTTCTCTACAGAATCTCTTTTTAGTTACTTTCCTAGCAGCCTAACATCGGATCTGAGAATTTATTTAGAGATCAGCCTGTTTGGCTTCTGGAAAGGGAGGAGGAGATCTTGATCTCTGCTGACAGTAGTACAGTTTTCCTTCTACTCCATGTTTCTCTTTGCTTCTGAATAATCAGACACTTGGACCAAAGAGCAGCATGGGTGCTATCTCAGTTTGCAGAGGCTTCAGTTTCAGTGCATTATTTTAAACTAAAATCAGTGGCCGTTGACGTTAATTTGCTGAGCCATGAGCTGCATCAGCCAAGGTAAGGATTTGTAATTTGTTCTTCCAGTCCTACAGTGAAAGCAGAAATGCAGGCAAGGAGCAGGGCCCATAGCTCGAGACAATAGCATTAAAAACTGTCTCAACTTTAAGTGCCCAGTTACTTTGGATTGGATAACTTTCTTCCCTGTATCACTAGGAAAAAGCTTTGAAGGGAATGTGCATCTCATTTAGACTTGTCCTTGCCCTACAGAAGGCATTTGTCCCCAGAGTCTTAAACTGGTTCCACAAGTGTCTCATGGCAACCTAAACTTGTGACGGTCAAAAGTGGCAGTGTCAATTTTTCCTCCCCCCACTCCCCTGTTCTTGCTCTGTGCTGAGGAGAGCATGACTGCTGCTTTTTGTGGTAGCACAAGTTTCTGCCACCTTAAACTGTTCCTGGAATTAGAATAAGAAAAATGTCTTAAATCTAGCACCTCCCATGCCCTGACCAACTACCTGTTCATAAGACAGGTGCATACCACTCCTTATTTTACTAACAAAAATATTTTGGTAGGCAGCAGATATGAACAGGTACAATCAAAACCTTTTCCCTTTCAGTTTGGGGCTAGCAAATAGCACTTATTTCAATTCCTGGGACTCTAATTAGAAATATCATAAAAGCAATAGAACATTCAGGTTATAATGCTGTAACTAGTATTTTGACTGACGGAGAAATTCACTCCCTTCAGTAAGGTGAGAAGTGGCAGCTTTAATTGCAGATCTTGTAAATGCAAGCTTTTAAGACAACTGAAAGCCAGTAAGATCCTGCTGTACATCTCTCTCCAGTTAAAATACAGTATTTACTTCAAAATTAAAAAAAAAAATCTCTGTAGTGTAAAAATCTTGATACAGCAGAAGTAAGAATCTGAATGTGGAACTGATGATTCACAATTTTCATTGTTGTAGACTAAAGACATCTTAATTGTGTAAAGAGCATGAGCAGTGACGAGCAAAATGGACAATGACTATCTTAGCATATCATATCAGGCTTTTTCCAGGACTGCTGTAATTGTGTAGTATGTTCCTTCCTGGCTTTACCTCTAACTGTAGCCCTGGCTTAAAAGGGAAGGTAAGGAATCTTCTTGCTGATTTTAGGATGGCTACAGGGGGTTCTGTAAAGGTAATTTCACATCTCTGTTTACCTTTTTAACTTACGAATCGTGACAAGTGCCACCCAAGAGTTTGAATTGAACGGGATAGAATGCCTTAGTACAGGACAAAGGGTTATGTGTACTTTGTATCTCAAAACTTATTAACTGAAACCATCCCTATTATTGTGGTTAATAATAAAGTGGCAAATAAAGATTTCTAGACCAAGAGAATTCCGTTCAGGATCAGTTTATACATACGATACAGAAGAAGGAATTGGTGTTTAGCCTATGGGATCTCTGGGTATCCTCAATATACTGTGTTTTGTGTGCAGCACTCGCAGCTCTGCTTTACACACCTTCTTTGTTCCTACCCTGATAATTCCAGCTGGGTGGTTTCTGTAATCTTTGGACCTACCTGACAAACTCCTGACTTTCGCTGTCACATCTGCATGACACTGTGCTTTGGGGAACTCTGTCCTTGTACATAACAGGTGGTTCAGCTTCCTTTCCACACCGCTGTGTTGTACCAATTTCATTCCCTTGTTTTTGTGCAGCCCCCTAAGATTTCATTTGTAGGACATAGCTTTGAGCTGTGAAAGTGTAGCATTTATTCTTAGCAGCATGGGAAAGAAAATGCTGAAGGGCAAGTTAAATAGTGGAACCCAGTCTAGTGCTGTAAACCCCACTCCTGTGTGCCTGCCAAAGTCCTTGTGTCCTACAGGGAGGAAAAAGTGTTTAGCAATGTTCTTGACAGCTAGCATATGTGCTCTGTGCTACTGCCCAGCTCATGGGTGTAAGAGGTACAGAAGGATAGGTGACCTTCATGGATACAGGCAGCCGTGTTTTGTATCAGCTGTGACCTGAAGCTCAAGTAGAATTACCTTGTCTTACTGTGGTCTAGATGAAGGATAATGTGTTTCAGTGAATAACATTGAGACATTAATTCTCTTGATTTCTTAACACATTATTTCCTGTTATTACCTTCTACCTGCAGCTCCTTAATTTCTTAACTGCTTCAGTGCGCATTTACATGTAAGAGGCGAAGGTCAAATGTCATATGCCTGTGCTATATGGGTCAGAATTAGCTGCATCTGCATTTTTCTTCACATGGCTCTGCTGCAAAATAACATAACACTATGAAGAGTGTCATCTGAAAGTTTCAGTAATTGGTTTGTAGTGACTTTAAAGTAGCTTGCCATTCTGGAAGCTCACAGGACTGTTTAAAAATCGTAGCCCTCGTGTTCTTGGATTGCTGCAGGTGATGATGCGTGGGCACTGCCTCTGGGTAGCTCTGTGTATTTTCAGCTGGCATCACCGCAGCCCCATTGCCTGGACCTCGTGATCAGTGCAAACTGGACCAAACCACTCCAATAGCAGTTCCATGTTAGCAATGATGTGCTTCTTGAGCACCATCACATCTTTGGCCCTCTATTTCTGCCTGCTTTCTGGAAACAGCAGGACACTTAAATACAAGTACTACTGGAAACCTTTGAAAGACAGGCACTACACTTTACCATTAGTTTTATACACATGCATATGTATATTCTCTGAATTAAAAATGTCATCTTACATGCAAAGCGTTGCTTCCAGCTTACTGCTGTTCAGTAGCCCTTTGGATTTGACTATTGTCTGCTTGTGGTCCAAGCTAACTGCTCAATATCTCTTGATAAAATTACCCCTAAAAGAGCTTTCATTGTCTTAAAAACTGCAGCCTCTTTTCTTATTAGTAATTTCAAATCCCTTGGTGGGAAATCTGCTGTTTGGCCCATGTAAAGTGGACTCCTCCAAGCAGCGAACAATTCACTTGACATGCAGTTGAGTGTTAAAACCAAGATGAGAACTCTCTACAAGGCTAAATTTGGGAATGTATAGTGAAAATCTTGTAGTAATGCATCTTCTCCTCTGCCTCAGTTTTCTCAGTTGCAGTATCTATTTTCTGTTCAGAAGTAGTATACAGATTTCTCGAGATAAAACAAAACATAACTTTTAAAAGTGTTTTCATTTCTTAAGAAAAATCTCAGGTTCTTAAAGTGAATGGATAATTCAGAGGCAGGCTTTCAAGTGAATAATTGTTGTCCTTGTGCTTCTCTGCTTTTCCATGCAGTACTTCCGGCATCTTAAGGTCAGGGAATTCTGTGGTAGTGGCAGGAATTTGTGATTAAATAACTTCTTGTGTATACCTGCTTAATTTGCCCTATTTAATAGAAGCAGCTTGTGGAAAATTTGAAAGGAAAGAAGGAAAAAACTCTCCGAACCCTCCCCCCTAAATCCACAGGTAGTCTCATTAAAGATTATACTGGTTAGTCTTTTAATAGACTTTTGAATTGATAGAAATACATTTGAGCTTTGCCCCACTTTTTGTCTCGTTTGAGTCTGTCTGCTATAAAGTTGCAAGAATTGCTTTCTTTTGCACTGTTCCATGGTATTAGAAGTCTTGATGATGGAATAGAAGCAAGGCTTGAGAGCAGGCCTATGAAAATACTGCCACAGGCCAAAGGAAAAGTTGAGGGAACAGTCTTGTCTTAGCAGGTTGCACAGTTTCAGTCCACCCAAAATAAGAGTTAGTCCTTTCAATTCTGAAAAAAAAATTAAGTGCTTTGAAATGGCATTTAACATAAGACTCCACTAAACCTTATCAGAGTTTAGAAATACTCTTTTTCTAGGCAAATTCTTACCATTCTGACCTCAAAACATCTCTTAATGCACTGAGACCTTTGTATTATAAAAGCATGATACATGCTTACTTCATAAATTCCTTCATTTAGTTATTTCAGAAACAAGCTGATCAAAGGCGACAGCTAAAAAAAAATAAACCAAACACCCAAACTGTTTGGGCTAAATTAATCTAGAGAAACACTGAAACGGTGCTTTTGGATTGACAAAGTTTTGTCACATTATTGTGACACAAAGTTCTCTTAGTCAGCTTTGGAATGATGTAATGGTTTATTGCACATCGCTATCTATCCTATCTCCTCACCTTGAAATGTCCAGTCTTAAAAAGTTAGCTGATGTGGGGCAGGGAGGAAGACAAGTGTTATCCCTTTGATGGGAGAGCAAGTGGAGAGCTGAACTATAAATGACTTTTGCACAAATTCATATACATAATTTATGGGAAGACGGAACACTGATTCTGAACATTCCAGGTCCTCAGTAATATACAAACCACTAGACCATCCTCTCCCTTATCTTCTACAGCTCTTGCATTAATTTGAATATTCTCTTACAGCTGCCAATGTTAAGGCCAACTCATTTACATATTTTTAACATGACATTGTCTGAAAGAATTTTTCCTTAGTCTGATGTTACAGACCATAGTGAGGGACATGTTTGGTTTCTTCCTTACTCTCTTGGTAGGTCCAAAATCTCTTGGCAAATAATTATACTAAAAAAATACATAGATGTTGCTGTAATTGAAATGGTGGGAGCAATCCTTCTTGGTTTTCTTGTCACACATGCAGTATTTTCTGTGTGCAGTATCCTACTTCACATGTATAGCCTTTCAGGTAGCTAATTTAAGTATCTTGGCTAGCTGTTGCAGCACATATATCTGCAAATAACATTTTCTAAAACTTAATTTTGCTTTTCTCCCATAGGAAACATGAATGGGAGAAACATGGCACTTGTGCAGCCACGCTTCCGATTCTCAATTCTCAGAAGAAGTACTTCGGTAAAGCTTTAGAACTCTACCAGCACATTGATCTTAACAGGTGCATAAATTAACTTGGTGGTCTGCCTCTTATTTCAAACACTTTCTAAAAGTTTCAAATGTAGCCTAAAAAAAAAAAGTCTAAGAATTTGATGGCCGAGGGGAAATGAGTATTAGCGTATTGTTTTTTAGTACTGGAGTTCAGAGGAAGGTTTGTTGACTCTGAGAAGCCTGTCTGGGGACACTTCAGAGTCTGGTAAATCAACAGCATTCTTGGAAGCATCATTTTAGATGGTGTGACCCAGGAAAATTTGAGAAGCTGTCTCTGCTGTATCTCGCTACCAGAAGCAGTGGTACCTGTAAACTTCTATATGAAGTGACAAAACCCCTCAAACTCCTAAGTCATAGTGAGACTGAAACACTTGCTTTTAGAAAAGACAGAGCTCTGCTCAGAGGACAAGCTGCAGGCAAAATCGTGTAGAACATCCTGGGAAAAGGCTGAGAGGTAACAGCAAGAGAGGATGTCCTGAAGGGTGGTGTTCAATTGCTGCAGGCAGCCCGTTGCTGTCCTTTCAAACAACCCTGATGTGACACTCCTACTTTCTCCTAGGGGCTTATGGTTCCAAAGCACTAGCTATTCCAGACACAAAATCTTGATGGGAATGTTGTGGCTTGTCTAAGCACTGTGTGTACAGATTCTGGCTGCAGGTGGATGCAAGAAGGCCAGAGTCGTTTCCTGATCAGTGCTTGGTATGGATGGGAGAATGTTTGTCTCGGATTTATGACTGTGAATTGTCTCTCTTTGTAAGACAGAGGACCTAAGTTCTTTTGTACATGGAAACATATAAAAAAAAACCCCAAAACCAAGAACACCCCCAAAATTGTTCGTGTTCTGTTAGTGTCTTATCCAAGCAACCTCCTAACAAAGTCTCTTTCACTTTGCATATGCACAAAGGAAATAGATCTTTCTCCTGCACACCCCCCCCATTTTTGTAGATGTCTTGTAAAACTTAATCAGATTTTTCTAGACACAGTACTTAACAGCATGTCATATGCAGTGTTAAAATTAATAAAGTCTGATAGTAAATTGCCTAAGTAGCTGTGATGGTGTGACTAAAACATTTTACAGATGGCACAGTGACCGATTATGTGACTCTGTATCAGCATGTGTAACACCAAACAAGAATAGAGACTGAAACATGTTGAAATTAATTGCTCAGAGCATATTCTGAATTGTAAAAGTGAACATAATTTAATTAATCTTTACTGAAAAGAATAAATACTGCTAATGTTCTTGTCGTACTTCATTTATACTTGAATGAGAAAAAGTAGTATTAGTGATTAAAAAATTGTTTCCAAAAAGGAAATTATTGAAAAGAGGACATCATGCAGGCTCCTGTAAGAATAACAGAACATCTGTTTCATTGGCCTCCTTATATCCAGTGTCAGATGACTATGACAAACACCTAGGACTTTATAGTCAACTGGGTTCTCTCTCTCCTATGCAGAACCTGACCTTGGAAAGGTTGAGCATTATCATTACTCATGGGTTAAATCCTGTGAAATGCTGAACATTCCCACTCCTTAGAAAAGAAGTCTCCCACCCCAGGAAGCCCACTCTGTGTCAGAACATGACAGTGCCTAGAGCAGCCACACAAGTCTGACTCCGTCCCCTCTCAGTGACTAGAGCACAGGGGCATGGCTCAAGGCAGGGGAAAGGAGGCAGTTAAACAGCTTGCCCTACCCGGCACTTAGCAGAGCATTCTGAAGGTCCAGCAAATAACAGTAATATTCCCTTTTCCCTCAGCTGTGTCTGAAGACTCGACTCTCCCAGCTCCTCAGATTCAGGTGGGGGAGAGGGTTCTTCCTGATCCGGCTGACTTGGATGGGAACTGGCATTTCAGAAAAGGGGAACCTTTTCTAGGCCTGGCAGACAATGGAAGACAAGTTTCCCTTGCTCCCCATGGCTGTAATGCTTGCCAAGTTCTCACTAAGATTATCTGTTTACCTGATGATTGTGAAGTTACATTTGCATACAGGAACAATGGAAAATTATTTTATCTTTGTTTTAGTTGTCTCCTGAAAGCTGGGATAAAGCCAAGCAGTTTCTATTACCAGGTAAGAGGTAATCTTTCTTAAAATAAAATCATGTGCCTCTACATTTTTCCGCAGGAGTCAAGTACTGTCTAGGGAGTAAGTGGGTTTTTTTTAATTGTATAGTTCTTTAAGGTTGTGCTTTATGTAAAAGCTTTTGTGAACTTAACAAGTGTGGGAGCTGTTGGAAGATGTGCTAGTGACTTATTAATTTATATGAGCTTTTTAATTTTTCAGATGACTGCCATAAAGGAAGCTCTTACAAGATTTTATGGTGTAACACCGAAGATCCAATGTCTCCCTCCCGAAGAGGTAAAAACCCCAAACAAGCACACACTCCCCAAAACAAACAAAAAACCCAAACCCCAAGTTCTTATTTTAGGTTTTGGGGTTTTTTGTTTGTGGGATTTTAGTTTTGTTTGTTTTTCCTAAATAGCACTTTTAATCAAAAAAATCAAAAATAGGGGGAAATATCTTCAGCATGGTGAAACTTAGGTCCGGGTGTTCCTTGTGTTTACAACATTTCGAAGATTAGATACTTGGATTTGAGCACACAAAAACATTGCTTACATACTGGGACCACTGAGTGCAGCTTATCTTATTGTTGCCACAGCCTTTCTTAATGCAGAAATATACATTTGGTACTTTTGGTATTTGTTAGTGGAGGAAGTGTTTCCCCTTTGCCTAGTAACTTTGCTGTTAGCATACGTACCCAGAAAGTGGAAGCACTGGGTTATAACGTTCTCTTTGTCTTAGAAGAGTTGAACCTGTATCTCTTGGATGAATGCGTAACCGCCATGCTGGAGGTACTGCTGTAGCTGAGTACTTTCCACTGCTCCTGCTAAAGCTCAGTTGCCATATAGAAGATTATTAGAACCAACAAGAGTGAGCTGAATCGAGCCAGTGACTGTTGACCTTGACAAGAGTACTGCCTGTTAACAGCAGCCGTCTGCCCTTCACTGGGCATGGCTTGTGCTCTGCATGAAGAAAGTTACTCAATGGACAGTATCCTTTAGAAATAAAGCAGCTCACAGACTGGTCTCTGAGGTTGTTCTCAAATGCCTGTACCTAAAGAGGTACAAAAAGGCATTTTGAGCTTCGCTGTGGTTCAGGATGACTACAGTTTTTCCTTCCAAGACAATGTTGTCTAGAAATTCCATTTCTTTCTACTTTGCCTTGCCAAGGACTGTACTGTGTATCACAATGCAATAGAGAACGTGGTACACAGGGATGGTATGCTGTTGCGTAACACACAGGTGATGATGTCTGATCCAAAAAAGCCTTTGAAAGAACAAAACAGTATTCTAAACAATTACATGGGTAGGGTGCATAGCTGTTTATTTCCTCTTTCAGCTAGGTTACTCCTTTTTTTTCTTTTTTTTTTCCCCAAAAGAAAACCAAAAATCAAACCCACAAAATGTCTTTCTCTCTAGTAAGAGATTCTTTATTATCTCAGCTTGATAGAAGTGGTTTACTACAAAACACTTGGCAGAGCTATTGCTCAGACACAGACGACAATTTTATGAAAACTTGCCAAGATACATTGCTGTTGCAGTTTAATAGCTTGTGTGTTGTCAACTCATTTGCTTTAGTAGTGCTCTGAGTTTTTTATACTCAGAAGTTTCTTCATATGAAAAAGAATCCTGGGGTATAATATATTTTTTGAATGTATTTTTAAGTTACGTTAAACAGCAAAGGAATATGAGTTGAATGTGGGTTGCACGCTCACCCACCTCTTGATGTTGAAGAAATACAAAGCTAACGCAACACTCAGTTTCTAGCTCTGTTCACTGTAGTTCGGCTATTGCTTTTAGTACAATTGGGATACTGCTGAAATTATGTGAGAGTAATTTACGGCTGGAGTCTCCCATGCCTAAAAGCTGAAGTTGATGGGTAATAGAAAGGAAAAAAGTACACCTCAGTTATTTAAAGATAGCCCTTCTCAGAGTTCCAGCCTTGTAGGTGCCCAAAGTGCATTATGGAGGTGCTTTGGTATTTAAAATGTATTACACACTTACTGTGTTCTTAAGTTTCTTTACAAAAAACCTAACCAAACAAACAAAATCAAACAAAAACCCCAACCAAACAAAAACAAAAACACAACTACCCCAACCAAACAAACAAAAACACAACCCACAAGCAAAAAACCACCCAAAACAACAATAAAACCTACCACAGTTATTTTTGTCTTGTACATATGTTTTTGTCTGGCTTAGTGGTTTCAAAACCAGTATTTTTCCATATGCCCTTTGTCACAACTGAGCATTTTGGGAGATTTCCATACAGTTTTCTTCCCCACATGAAAGGCTTCCATGCCTACTTATCTAATTCGTGGCCAATATTCTTCTTCCTAGGCTGTCCTGTACTCCAAAAATGACATTTCTGCTACTTTTGACAGATTGCTTCTGTATTCTTTTCAGTAGAAGCTATTATAAACCCAAGTTTCTTTTCTTTTCTACTTTTTGGAGAATTTTCATTGCCTCAATTCCAGTCCTGCTACAGAAGAGTTGGTGAAAGGTGGCATTAGGGTCACACATACCCTTCAGTCTTCACAGGGTTCAGCCATAGCTCGTCACTAAGGTGAACAGCTTCTGTGTACTGTGTAGATTTGGTGAATGCTTAGATAATATGTGTCACAGCATTTCACAATGAGACCTACTAGTGAGGCAGATTCCCCAAATTGTTACTGAGTTAGGCTGTTGGAATGTGTTTTCTTGTCTGCTTGCTCCTTAAAGACAACTATGTACTATAAGCTGTTCAGAGTGGATGCATCTTGTACCTGTTTCCACAAAAAAACACTACTGTAGTCTCTAGATAGGGCAGTATATATGAAAAAATGATTTATTTTCTTTTCCCCGTCGAGCTGATCTCATCCCTCATGTTTCTAGGGTGAAAAAGCACAAACAATTGGTCAGATTGAATTCTGCTTCACCAAAGAACTGCAGCTGAGAAACTGCACGGCGCTGAAGGGTGAATCCATCCCAATGCAGGCTGGCTTGAAGCTTGGAACCGAGGAGTTGTCTGTCTGCAGCGATACTCTCCCAACCTATTATCCTTCACAGGTCCAAGGTCACAAATGAAACCCTAAGAGTTGGAAAAAACTTTTAAAACAGCAACAAACCCCAAACCCATAAACATTATACCTTGAAAAACAGTCTTGATTTGGCAGTATTACAAAGCCCTGTCCATATCACAGGCAAGAAGATTTCTGCTGGAAAGAATGCTGCTTTTGCCTTTAAAGGAGAATGGTGCACATTGTAATATCAGTTACACAGGCTGAAGTATCGAGTTGTGGCTCTGATGTCGATGGGATCAGAATCTGATTTACAGCTTTTCCTGGACTTTTTGGCTTGCTTATAGTTTGAATCAATGTTCAAAAGGGAACTGTGATTTCATAGTTTCACTTGCAGTTAAGTCTGCCACTTTGGCCACTTTTGTTTTTTTACCAGTGAGTCAGGGAAATTAACTCATTCTTTATTTTGGAAGGATGCTTGTGTCTTTGAGGTGAGATGACAATTTCTTGAGAGGCTAATATCGTAAAGAAAAAGGACCTGTCTGGAGGGCCTTTCCCAGACATAATACCCACTGCCTTGCAAAAATTTGCTCTCCAGAAGTGCTGAACAGAGGCCACGTCCTCTGAGGCATTAAGCCTTTTATCACTCAGAGATCACGGTGGACCAAAGATGACAACTTTTGCATAACTTCTTAGTGAATGAAATAACATTCTGGGTTTTGGCACTTCTCCCTAAAGGATCCCGGGAGGACTCTATTTATAGCCTTATCTATTCTATGATTTTGCTACAGTAGCTCTGTAGAGTCTTGAAGAATAACCAATCTTAGAACTTACTTGCTAGTATAGGAAGATGTTAGGCGCTAGAAATATGTTGTTAATTTTTCATTGTATTTGAACGTTTAGCATTACCACACAAATGTGAGTGCCTGCACTTTGATTTAAAAATGAGATTGCTACATAATCACTTGGTTCCAAGAAACAGCTTTTTGTAGGTGAAACAGTAAATACTACAGATTTTTCAGCAAAAAGTACAAGTGTTAGCAATAGTGTGTCTCTATCCCATAATGATTAGTAACATGCCGCTAAATGGATGTTTCCAAAGGAGACTACATTTGGATGACATCCTCTACGCAGTGTTGTGTTGATGTGTCTCAAATTGTCTTCCAAAGAAAGAAAATTGTGGCTCAAGGAACCATCTGTTAGAATAATATTACTGTGAAAACATTAAATGTGGTATGAGGAACAAATTTGTTGTGTTTTTTGGGGGTTTAGAAACCATTCACATGTGCTCTCATTTTTGATTTTCCTTGTTTCTCTACCACCTTTCACTTCAGGCTCTGTTACTTTGCCATTCCAGAATGCTGTCAATTTTTTAGTCCTTTCTTTAGACACTCATTTATTCTAACAGCTAAGATCTGCACCCTGTTTTATCTGTGTTTTAGTAAAGCAAAGGCTTCTCTTCCAAAATTTGTCTTTGTTCCCGAGAGGGGGAATAAACTAATGTATGCTAATACTGTATTAGTACAGTAATGGTAATCAGATCTACTGTTTTTATAATAGCTGTGGCATATTCAGTTCATGTTGAACATGATCAGAGACATGATTAGAAGAATCACAATTCTTCATTCCCCCATTTCTGACATCTTTTAAGCAAGAAAAAATAGGGAAACTGAATCAAAATGCTTGAAAAGACTAGAATGTACTTGGGTTTTATTAGTGATGACAAAAAGATTCCATATCTTTTTTTTCCTTCTAATTACAAAAATATATCTTAGCCTAAAGAAAATGAGTATTTGTTGGGAATAATGCATTTCTCTGCAAAGGAGCAGCCAAAGGCTGATGTACTTTTTAAAATTCTCTCTCCGACACTTTAAAATAGTACTTGGATAGTACGTAAGTTTTGGGTGGACTACACAGAGTGCTGTTTTTTTAATGGTTTGAATTTTTTTGTCCTTTGGTGAAGACCCTTATTATTCTTTTCCTCTCAAAATTCTCTAGAGTGCAGTGCCATATCCTTGCTTGTTAAGCTAATCAGCAGTGAGGGAAGTGGAAACAGAGGTTGGTAACTCCCATCAGACCTTCTCGCCGACCCCTTGTTCAGTGCTTTTCAGTCGCCAGTTCGGTTATGAGCACAGTCCTTAATTGGGGCAATAGACTTCTCGACATCTTGGCATAAATGTCACCTTGGGTAAGCAGGTGCAGTGTAAAAAGTCCCATGAAATCCGCAGCAACATGCTGTACTGCCAAATGAGTGGTGATGGGGTTTGCTTGGTCTTCTGTAGTTGTTTTAATGCCTTAGTCCTCTTCACAGTAAGAAGAAAAGCTCAAACTTGGAAGCAGTGGTTGCATTGGTTCCTGCACAGACATACGCTTAATGGAAGCTCAAATCAATAGCCTGACATTTCCTTTTATTTGCAGTATAAGTTGTGTTTTCTTTTATAATACCAAATAATGTTGAGAGAGACAAAATATACAGTATGGGATCTCCGCAGTTAAAGCGTAATGGATTCATTTCAGTAAAGCCAGCAACTGCAAATACATACTTCACAAGGAAGTGACAGCCCGCAGTGTGAGGCTCAGGTAAAGCTGACTCTTGACAAATAGAGTCAGGAACGAGCGACCTTTGCAGTAGAGTAGGTAGTATGGCTCCTATGCGTTTTTCAGCCTCATTTTCAAATGCACAAAAAGTGAGGGAGCTTATATGTTTCAAAATCATAGAATCAAAATGGTTTGGGTTGGAAGGGCCCTTAAAGACCATCTAGTTCCAACCCCCCTGCCATGGGCAGGGACACCTTCCACTAGACCAGGTTGCTCACAGCCTCATCCAGCCTGGCCCTGAACACTTCCAGGGATGGGGCAGCCACAGCTTCTCTGGGCAACCTGTTCCAGTGCCTCCCCACCCTCTCCAGGAAGAACTTCCTCCTGATATCTAATCTAAACCTCCCCATTTTGAATTTGTACCTGTTCCCCCTGGTCCTGTCACTACAGGCCCTTGTAAAAAGTGTGTGTGTCATCCCCCCCCAGCTTTCTTGTAGGGCCCCTTCAGGAATTCTGTGATTCTATAAAATGTTGAGGAGAAACTAGCATAATCTGAAATGAGGAAGAGAGGAAGGAAAGGAGAGAGCAAAGCCAGCAGCATGCTGAATGGCAACCTGCAGCTGCATCAAAAATGAGTGATGAGTGTTGCCAAGGTTGGGTAAAAATAACCTTAGAGATGCTGAAGTCCTGTTTAAAAGAACGTACCTGAGGCACTGCATTTGCCTTAAAACCACACACACATTCTTTTTATTTTGCCAACGTTATTACACATTAAATATTTTCACCTGGCATGATTAATTTATTAGTGGTAGCAATAAAACAAGATATATATGACCGCTGTTGCTTGGGTGTTGTCAATCCTGTCTGCCTGACTTCTAGGAAGATACAAATGTCTCTTAAAAGCTACTGACTGATTTTTATGCAGAGGTGTGCCAAGTCACTATGAAGTCTCAAGTGATACATTTCAGGGATGCGTTAAGGACTGTGTCTGGAGTTGGGCAACCAGGAGAGCAGGTGAATAAATGGCAGCACTGGTTCAGGCCAAAGATTATGTCCAGCCCGTTATGTTGCCTCTGGCAATGGCTCACAGCCAGTTACCAGCCTTGGCAGTTGCTTCCCATCAGCGTGTATGTCCCCTCGAGAGGTGGATTAACACAACTTAAATACAGGAGGTAAACAAATATATCTTGGGAGCTTTAAAAATCAGTTTTGGAAAGTGTCACTCACTTCTTAAGCAAAACAAAATCTACCAGCCTTGAAGTTTCAACCCAGCCTGGGGAAGATGTGGGCTCTCTTCTTTTCTGCATCATTAAATGGAGTAACTGCATCCCAGCAGGGGTTTTGTTTGTGCAGTCTCGGTGCTTTAAAACACTCCTCAGCTCCACAAGGGGATTTAACTTGTTTGCACCCTGTGTCCATGTGCTCTCTCGTGCAAAATGCATAAGCATCCCTTGGCGTGTAGGTTGAGGCATGGGCTGTCTGTCCCCTTTCCAAGGACAGCACTTCTTCCTGGACCATGAGCAGGTTCTTTTCTTTCTCTACTTCTCTTACTCTCTTCCTGGCCTGCACAGAGCCTTTCTTGGCTGCACAGGAGCCCAGCTTCAGCCAAGTTTATGGGGGGGGTTGGGGTGGAATATGAGACTGGAAAAAGCTTCTACACAATTTCTGTAAGTAGCTACCCCGTCACACGTATATTGTGCTTAAGGCACAGTCTGTCTCTCCCAACCCGCAGTTTTTTATGGTGGGGAAGGGAGATTTTCACAGAGGCGGGTACTTGAATTTGGGCATCTCAGTTCTGGTGGGGTTGCACTTCACGCAGCTGTGCTCTGTTGGGATCTGGCTCTGAGCACCACTGAGCCAAGGCCATAACAGATCAACGGCGCTGCTGACAGTAGTATTGCTGCCCAATGATGGTACTGATGATTCAAAGGGAAAATGTTGGGATGATGCAAGTTGCTTTCGCAGGAATGGAGCAATCCATCATGAGGGATGTTGTATTTATTAAATTCAGACTGTCTTGCTGCTCGGGCAGCTTCCTTCACAAGGCTCACTGCACACCTTCCCTTCCTGTAAATATTCCCTGTTCCACAAAGGTGCCATAGATCACCCAGAGTTGATATAAATAATTCATTTTGGAAGGGATTTCAATTTCTTGTGCTTAGGAGAGTAACAGCTTTTAATATATAGGCCAAGTGAGACCTGATGTGGGAGACGGACAGATTATTTTATGTTCCCGGGCTGTGGTCTTCATTATTCCTTACCCCAAAGTGCACTGGAGTGCCACAGACTGGGTGAGTAGTTGATAGACCTCAACAGCAGCCAGACCCAACGGTGCCCACAGATGAGCAGCGTGAGGCCTGCCATATTCAGCATGAAAACCACAGCGCTGACGTTCAGGCACAGGGCTCAGTTTGAGTGCATGATGCTTCAGTGATCTTGTATAAAAAATAAGCAAAAATGACTATATGTGATTGGAAAATTTTTAAGCAGGTGATAGAAAATTCTTAAGTGAGCTGAAGTAGGGCATCT